ACTTGTATGTGTACATGTAGTACATGTATGATTAAAAACTGTTCCTCAACGGCGTCTCTCAAACAGATTGCCCATCACTGTGGCGCAGGCGCCGTGGGAATTGTAGTCCTTTATAGTGTGTTGACTACAGATGTCACAATTAGGTGGCCTTTCTTATCAAATCAAAATACTGGTGTACAGGTGTATATCAGTATGTATTGTCTCTACTTTAAAGAGTCCTCTCCTGCTGATGTTCAGGTGTATATCAGTATGTAGTGTCTCTACTTTAAAGAGTCCTCTCCTGCTGATGTTCAGGTGTATATCAGTATTTAGTGTCTCTACTTTAAAGAGTCCTCTCCTGCTGATGTTCAGGTGTATATCAGTATGTAGTGTCTCTACTTTAAAGTGGACCTATCGTGCTATATTTGAAACATATATTGTAGGGCCATACCTATATAAAACATGTCTGTGAAGTTTATTTTTCAAAATACCAAACAGATCATGCATTTTAGCCATGCCTCATTTCGCTCTATTTGCTCTTTTCCAGCCCTGTTTTTGCAAGGGCTGATTCTGTGACGTAGCTTTAATGCAAATGAGCTGCAGCTGACCACGCCCCCCTGCAGGAGAGGTGTATCAGCTGCTGGGCTCTCAGAAGAGGGGGAGGAAAAGAGAGGCTCTGTCCTCCGTGTATTATTCTTATATGATTATATAGAGTTGTTATTCATTTGTTTTAAAGCTCAATAAATAACAAAGAAGACCTTTGACCGGCACTTTTCTAATTTTGTCCGGAAGATTTCAACTTTAACGGACATGTTGACCGGCGAAAACTGAAACTCTGCCGCATGGTCCTCTCGTCCCTTGGAAGAGGCGGAGAGGTGGGTGTTTGTCATCTGCTGGTGGACTAACCGGAGAGCAGCAGGAGCAAACGCTTGCCTCGGGGAGGGAGAAAAAGAGCCAGAGCGTCCACAGCGGAGAATAAACAGAAGGGCAACCATGGCAACAATGCGCGGGAAGTCTTCTTCGCTGCTTTTGTGGCAGACTACAGCGCCACTTACAGGCCTGGCATATGTACTACAGCGTCTCCAGCGCCGCTGCGGGAGGTGTGAAAAGGTGCCGTAAAGAGACGACGGTGCGGGACACACCAACCTGAGTAGGGCGCCGCGAATGCCCGACTGCCTCTGACGGGCTCTGACTCCCAAAATCGGGTTGGTGTGTAGCCAGCTTTACATAACAGCTTTTCAAAGATGATTAAAAGAAACTCCAGAGAGGAAGCAGAAACTCTGATACTGAAATCAGACAGGAGCTAGCGGATAATGAGAGATCACAAATACAAAGTAGGGATGTCCCGATCACCTTTTTTTGCTCCCGATCCGATTCCGATCATTTGATTTTGACAATCTGCCGATACCGATTTTTCCCGATCCGATCTTTATGCAATGCATTAAGAAGAAAAAAAAGGTAACAGATAACGGCTGGTCATCCAACGCGATGAATTCAGCTATCTTGGCTGTTCTGGGGTAGTTTCTCTTTCCTTTTAAAAGTCTCTGAAAGTGTCGGTTGTTTCAGTGCCGTTACCTGAGTGGCCGCTGTGTACTCGTCGTGTTGTTGTTGGTGGTGTTTGTATTAGATTGGTCATGTTGAACGTAGCTCTGTTCTTTCCACCACGCGGAACCTCCGCCTTGCAAACATTGCATCTGGCTGTTACACTGCCTTCGCTTTCAATTTTATAATACTTCCAAACTCCTGACATTTTCTCTGTCCCGACTCCCGAGTCACCAGCTGAACGTAGCCTCTTGTTAGCTTACTGCTACTATTAGACACTGCGCCCTGCCCACTCTGTTGCCAGATTTGAGAGAAATAAGCAACCAGGTCTATGAAAACAAGCCCAAAAGAAGCAACACATACATGATGTTGTGTAATTTTAACCCAAAACTAAGGCCTCAGGATGACTTTAAGACGTGAACATGGTCATTTTTGTTTTGTAACATTAAATAAAATGTATGAAAATATTTTATAAAAAAAAAAAAAAAAAAAAAAAAACATTCCGATCCCCGATCTTTTTCTCCCGATCCCCGATCACGTGAAAATAACGTGATCGGCTCCGATCCCCGATCACGTGATCGGATCGGGACATCCCTAATACAAAGTCTAATAAATAAATAATTTGAGAGATATACTGCATCTATTTTTAAAATGCAAATAGCTCAGTGTTTAATGATCAAACTAACTTCAGTGTTTTAAATAGGATGTAATGTGAAAAAAACATAAAACTAACTTCAAGTAACAAATAATTCAATAATGATAAAAATAAATGCACTTTTCTGGGATATTGTTTGTTTGTAGCCTTTATTTAACCAGGTGAATCCCATTGAGATCAACGATCTCTTTTTCAAGGGAGACCTGCAGCACATTGGTTACACATAAAAACAACAGAAAACAAAAAGGACATCATACAACATAATTACAGGGGTACAAATTAGCAACCTATTCACAATGACAGGTATCAAATAATATTAAAAAATATATATAAAATGCCAGAGAGTAATTATAATTAGAGATGAATGTGACTTCCTCAAATTGCACATTTCTAGGGTTTCGTATGTTTGCAGGACAAAACAAAGCAGCATGAAACACAACAAAAGTTATTGTAGCGAATTAAACCTACTTTACGACAATGATCTGGATTCTGATTTTAAAACTTTCTACAGAGTTTGCAAAAGTGTTAACTTTAACGGTTCATGTTGCTGCAGTTTTACAGTAATGTTAGTGTTTTACTTACAGAACCGTGTGCAGTGTTTGAAGAAAGGGCCATGTTGAAGTGACATTTGGGTGCAGAGCTGAACATGTGTTTAGAGTTTTGGAGCTATGGTTGTGCAGTTTTGAGTGCCAGTTTAAATAATTGTGCTTTTTGAGATATTTAGTTCATCAGCACCTGAAAGAAACCCAGCAGAGGGCGCCAAACCTCTCTTTTCCAGCAACATGAACCAGCTCTGACTGAGAGATTCAAGGCACTCCTTACTGCCTTACGGACCGTCCACACAGCAGCGTTAAAAAAACGAAGCTTGGGGATTTTTTGCGAGCAAGGCACCAACAACCAATCACATGAATCTCCCGCCCCCGACATACGAAGCAAAAAAGTTTGAAGTAAACTGGATATAAACTCCCCAAACAGGCGAAAACCTACCACTGTCTCTGCCACCTCCCTCCATGCCTGGCTCCTCCGGTTTATATCCCGGTAGGTAAATAGGGACTGGTCATAAAGCACCGGGTGATTCCCTACCGCTAATTTCTCCTCCATTTTTTGGAATATGAGGAAATGAACTGCGGTATGTCACTCCCAGCTTACACGCCGTTTGATTGGCTAGAGCTTGAACGGTCAGATTTGCGTACACAGGATTTGATTGGCTGACGCTTCCACCTCAGCTTCAAAAGTTGAACATTATTCAACTTTGAATCCTGAAACTCTCCGCTCGCCTGCCCACAATGCAGTTCGGCGAAAAGTGAGGGAAAGTGACGTCACCCCATTCAAAGTGAATGGGCAGAAGCGTTTCAAGATTTTTTAACGCTGCTGTGTGGACGGTCCGTTACTATACTTAAAGAGGTGGAGAAGTACTTAGATCTTGTACTTGAGTAAAAGTAGAAGTACTCGGATCTTGTACTTGAGTAAAAGGAGAATTACTCAGGTCTTGTACTTTAGTAAAAGTAGAAGTACTCAGATCTTGTACTATATATACACAGTATATATAAATAAAAAAACACCGCTATTTTCTCCAAGGTGCCCTTGAAGCCCGGCCTGTCTTTATGTCCATGGACAATTTATTTAACCTGTTAAGCCCTGAGCCTGTTTTTCAGGTCTCGAAAATGACATTCCCAGAACAAATGACCATATCTTCCCTTCTAAAAGGGGTAAATTAATAATCTTGTTTCTCAAAGCAAGGTTACATCTGTGAGTTGGAGGTAGAAGTGTCAGAATCAATATAGATGTTTTTATTTTAAAGTAAATTCAGATTGAACACAGTAAAAAAATGTAAATTATAGTGTCCGTCCAAAAGAAAAAAAGACTTATAGTGAAAACCACCCTTGAGTGATGGGATAGTAGACTAAAAGCTTTAGGAATCCAAACTATAACATATAATAAGTACCCTGTATCAAGATTGATGGAAAAAAAGTGAAACTTGACCTTTTTAGAGAGATTTAGCACAAAAAAACACTTCAGGGGTCATTTGGGTGGATTTGACCTATCACTGGCCCTCCTTGGTCGATTTTGATGATTGACATATCTTTTTAACCGCTAGAGCTAAAGGAATCGAGGAGAGGTTCCACACACACACGTTACAGACACAGTTTCGTGAAAAAAAAACCTGCAGCCCCCTCCACCGGGGGCTCGCGGGCTAAACAGGTTATGACATGTTTATAATGTGCTGAAAAACAAAGAAATATGCAAGGATGTGCATCTTTTTCTAAGGCATTTTTTATTTTGGTACAGTCTGATAATTTTAACAAAAGAGAACAGAATCAAACTGAAAACTTCATAAATATCTAGATACATTAATCATTGGTTCTTCTTTTAGACCAGAACAGACTGCCAACTCAACTATCAAAACATCCCAATCAAAGTTTAAAGTCACAACATTTCATTAACCAAACAGATTATTCGAAAAACTACTCTGCAGATTAATGAACAGTGAAACTAAATTCCTTCAATGCAGCTTAACGAGGCTAGCAATTAAACCCTGGACATATAATATTTTATAAAAGGAAAAACAAGGCTATTAGAAAGTTAGTTGAAAAACAGCATAGTGAAACAATTCTTTATAGATCAGGAACCGTTACAAACATGAATTACATCGGGAAAAACAGCATTTCTGTGGCCTTGTGTTGGCATAGTGTGAACGCTGGTTAGAACATAAACAATTGTTAGTCAGACTTCAATTCAGAAAGACTCTTAAAATATAACAATACAGCTCTCAGGACATCAGGAGGAGGAAACAGCTAGCTTGGCTCTCATAGTTGTTAAAAACTATGCGGTGTGGATTCGCTCGTGGACTTTAACATATCGTCCACACGGCTCTGTCGCGTTGAAGCTTGCCAGTGGAAGTGTCTGGCGTGCGACCAACAACCAATCACATTCATCTCCCGATCCGGACACACAAGCACGGGGACGTACGGAACCGTGTGGACATACCGTAAGACTGATACTTTGAGAAAAAGTTTTCCGACACTCTTCACACCAGTATGGTTTTTCTCCAGTGTGAATACGGTGGTGTGATTTGAGTTCACCTGATGTCTTGAACATTTTCCCACACTCTTCACACCAGTAAGGTTTTTCTCCAGTGTGAATACGGTGATGTATTTTGAGATCACCTGATGTCTTGAACATTTTCCCACACTCTTCACACCAGTAAGGTTTTTCTCCTGTGTGAATACGGTGATGTATTTGGAGGGCACTTGATGTCGTGAATGTTTTCAAACACACTTCACAGCTGTACGGTTTCTCTCCCGTGTGAATAAGTTGATGTGATTTGAGAGTACCTAATTGAGTAAATGTTTTCAAACACACTTCACAGCTGTACGGTTTTTCTCCTGTGTGAATACGATGATGTGATTTGAGACCATCTGATGTTGTGAATGTTTTCCCACACTCTTCACACCTGTACGGTTTTTCTCCTGTGTGAATACGTTGATGTGATTTTAGATTACTTGATTTAGTGAAAGTTTTCCCACACTCTTCACAGCTGTATGGTTTTTCTCCAGTGTGAATAAGCTGATGTGTTTTGAGAGCACCTGATTGAGTAAACGTTTTCCCACACTCTTCACAGCTGTACGGTTTTTCTCCAGTGTGAATACGCTGATGTGTTTTGAGAGCACCCGATGTCGTGAACGTTTTCCCACACTCTTCACAGCTGTGCAGTTTTTCTCCAGTATGAATACGCAGGTGGAGCTTTAAATATTCAGATGTTGTAAAGGATTTGTCACATTGCTGACAGCTGTGACGTCTCTCTCTTCCTTTCGGTTTCTAAAACAGACGGACAGAGAAAGAGAGAAATTAAATCTAAAAAGCACAAATACATATAGAGTTAACACAATAAAAACTCACTTAATACATATACAGTTTACAAAATATTACTTGTACTAACTGTTTGTGTTTATTATATTTGATCCAGTAATACGGCAACATTCTAACCACAGTATATACCAGAGGTGGGGGACTCGAGTCGCATATTTTTTTACTTGAGACTTGTTTGACTAACATTGATAAAAGACTCGACTTGAATTTGACTTGGTATTCATGACTTGAGACTTGACTTAGGCTTGAGACAGATGATTCGAAAGGACTTTACTTTTTAAAATAAAATATTTGCATTTGTTTTTGTATTGTACGAAGGGCAATGAAAAAACTAAAAAAGAGAGAGAGAAAGTATCTCGTTCGCATGAGAAAGTTACCGGTGCGCCAAGTAGGAAGTGGAGCGCACAGGAGACAACCGTTTCATTGCTCACTGTTATGTTTATGTGGGGAAATGGCAGTTCATACATTATTTGAGATATATTTCGAACTCAGACTTCATTTTAGGGACATTTCGGCCAGGGGTGTAGAGCTAAGTGGACCTATATTCTATATTTGAAAAATATATTGTAGTATACCTATATAAAACATGTCTGTGAAGTTTTTTTTTCAAAACACCAAACAGCCTTGCCTCATATTGCTCAAACCCCTCTTTTGAAGCCATTAGAGAAACGTAGATTTTGGGTCCTTAGCTTGAAAAAAATAAATAAGAGGAGGCGGAGCTAATGCCTGATCAGAATTCTACCGGAGATAAAGTTAAATTCGGTTGTGATAAAACGCCATCCTGTATAAACCACATCAAGGATTATTTCTGAAATAGTATGGAGCTCAAATGCTTTTTCTCTTGCAGGTTTATCACAAGGTGAGTTCTTTTTTTATTTCCTGCTTTTCAAACACATGTGCTCTTCAGTACAGGTTAGCTCTGAGTGTTAGCGAGGCTTGCTAATGTAAACAAAGACGTCCAAAACACATCAGGCATTGTTTCTGATAGCAACTTTCTGTGGGTCCGCCGACGTCAGTTCGGATGGACACCTCAGTTCGGATGGAAATCTGTATCCGCTCGTTGTACACCCGTTTTTAAAAGATTTGGGTACGGAGGAAAAGAGAGAGGGTTTTATTTTCTGACGCTGCGTGAGTTCCCCGAGACACCGGGGACACATATTTACGTATAAAAGACATCACAAAGTGCATTTTGCATGATAGGTCCCCTTTAAGCACCAGATTGGCAAAACAGGAGAGTCTGCTAACCAGTCTGCCTTGATCTATGAATTCATGTCCAGGACTCTCACAGTATCTGCTGCCCACAGCTTTCTTATAGAAGGAAAACCACCTTCACTTCATGAAATCTCTGCAGCACCAGGAGGCAGTAACGTGTAACTCGGCAGAATCTGAGAAGAGCAGCACCAGCTGCAAAGAGCTGTGCCTTTTACTGTTTACTTCACTGTGTTTACCTTCATTAGAACAGCTAAAGAGCGACCGCAGGCTGCTACGTTTTAACCACACACACTTCTACACACAACTGCCCGATTATTCCCCCTATTACCCATTTTATGAAGGAGATGTCCGGTCACCAAGGCGCATGATGTGTGTGTGTTTGTCGGACTATGGCATTCGTTTTTTATAATTACCATGAACACTCATTTACACACAACTGGCCAACTCCATAGATATATGTGGGTGTTCCCAAATGAAAGAAGTTTGTCTAATCTCGATTTAGTGCTAAATGCTGTCGGAGTGCCCACACACACACACACACACACACACACACACACACACACACACACACACACACACACACACACACACACACACACACACACACACACACACACACACACACACACACACACACACACACACACACACACACACACACACACACACACACACACACACACACACACACACACACACACACACACACACACACACACACACACACACACACACACACACAGGTTGGCCAAGTGTTCTCCTCCCCAGGCTCTAGAGGCATGAGAGGTGTCAGTATACTGATATCTAAGAAACTATCTTTTGAACTGACTGATTTGGTTAGTGATAAGGAAGGTCGATATCTGGTTTCGCGAGGTAAATTGCAGAATGAAAAATGCACATTAGTGAATATCCATGCTCCAAACTCTGCACAGGCTTCCTTTATGTGCCCTCTCATCACCATTTTGGCCTAGTACACCGACAGCCCTATCTTGATGGGAGGAGATTTTAATCTAGTAAAAGATGCTTCACTAGACCGCTCAGGCCATCCTCTTCCAAAGGACAGATCACTATCAAGTGCCTTCAATGAGCTGTTAGAATCACTGGCAATGGCTGATGTGTGGCGGACACTGTACCCTCTCTCTGTGAATATACATTTTATTCTAAGGTGCATAAATCCTACTCAAGAATTGACTACCTCTTATTATCCCACTCTGTTATCAAAAATGTAATGGATGCGGACATACATAGTATTGTCCTATCAGACCACGCTCCTCAGTCTATCACTTTTTCCTAGTTGCTAGTGAGAACAGACCTAAACAACTCCTTGTTAAAAGATGACACATTCATCTCACTTATTGAAAATAAAATAAAATAATATATATCAATAAATGTAGACTGTGTCTTCCATTCAAACTGTATGGGAAGCCTTTAAGGCCACCTGCAGAGGGTGGATAATCAGCCATGCATCAGCTAAGCACAGAAAAGCTATTAAAAAGAAAAATAATTTACAATCAGAACTTAAAACTATTGAGAAACAGCATATGCGTGATCCTAAAAGCCCACTACTTCAGAAAACATTACTCGCAGTTAGAGCTGACCTGCAGGCAATATTACATGAAGAGACAGCTTTCTCCCTCTACAGACTCCGTAAAAAACACTTTGAATGTGGTGATAAAGCAGGAAAGATGCTCGCGCTTAAATAGTTAGAGGGTAAATTATCAATTTCAGCTATAAGAGACTCTGGAGGTAATATTATAAATGATCCCAAGCAAATAAACCGCAAATTCCAAACATTTTACTCCAATTTATATCAAACTGAGTGCACAGCACATTTATTTAAGAATGTTACACTTCCTGTACTAAATCCTACTCAGAAACACGAGTTGGAATCTTCTGTCACGCCGAACGAAATAGCGTCTGCCATAAAATCTCTTACATCGGGTAGGACCCCTGGGTGCGATGGCTTTAGTATTGCATTTTATAAATGCTTTCTGGAAGTGTTGTCGCCATTGTTGGTTATGTTGTATAACGACATGATAGAAAAACAATCAATGCCCCTCACAATGCGTACTGCCACATTATGTCTACTTCCGAAACCTGGGAAAGTCTTCTTAATGATTACAAAGTGTTTGCAAAAATCCTAGCCCTTCGCCTGGAGGAAGTTATCCCATCCCTAGTGAATCTAGACCAGGTAGGATTTCTAATTGGACGCCAGTCAGCTAATAACATGAGAAGGCTGCTCCAGGTTATTTTTAGCGCCAACACCCTCCATCTCCCAGCAATGGCAATATCACTGGATGCCAGAGGTGGGGACTCGAGTCACATGACTTGACTCGAGTCAGACTCGAGTCGCATATTTTTTGACTTGAGACTTGCTTGACTAACATTGATAAAAGACTTGACTTGGACTTGGTATTCATGACTTGAGACTTGACTTAAGCTTGAGACAGATGACTTGAAAGGACTTGTCTGTTGAAAATGAAATATTTGCGTTTGTTTTTGTAGTGAGATATTACGTTTAGTTTTTTCGAAAAATGTGATTGGGTGATTATAGCGCCATGCGCGCAAACCTGGCAACCCACTAGACGGCAGGTACAGTAGGAGCGTCAGTTAACATGGCAGCGGCTAGAGTTACTCCACAAATAGTGAAGTTTGGATTCAAGGATTATGTTGTCGATGACGCTAATAAGAAGAGAACAGCGGTATGCAGGGTCTGCAGCATAAAGATCAGTGACACGACCACCAAAACATCCAACTTCATTCGTCACTACTAAAAAACCCACAGAGAAAGGTACGTGCATGTGTTGTGTTAGCTAGAAAGCTAACGTTAAGTTTAAGCTACGTTAGACTTGGTTTCAAATCGATTAAGCATTGCAAAGAGAAGACAAAACGGTAAATGAACACTAGAACCTCCAAGGGATTCATTTTGACTAACCCTGATACTGACGGGCTGTCAGGAGAGGGAGAGAGAGAGAGGAAAAGAGATGCCTCGTTTATTTCCCCTGTGGCTGTGTTATTATCAGAAGTTACTGTAAACTGTAGTTCATCTACTTTTAGTAGTTTGTTTAAATGTTTTAATTATGTTGTTTTTGTTTGTAGAAGTGCATCATTCCTTGATTTATTGTAAAATGAATCTGAACATTTTAATCTGTTATGATGATAAACTGAAGCAATTTCTAAATTAACCCAATTAACTGAGTTTTAAATCGTCCTACTTAGTTTATAAGGAAATTATGAAGAGGAACAAATGAAATGATTTGAAAATGATATCTCTGTAGGTGCTGACGCTGTTGGCGGTTCTAGTGTTAACAGAAATTTAAATTAAATATGTGTAATGGCAAATGCCATATATGATTTTCTTACCTGGAATTCTGCCTTTTTGAACAGACTTTTTGACTGAGTCCTAGCTATATTGTCTGCAGTTCTAGGGTTAATATGAATCTAATATGATTGTCATCGGTCTAAATTATATTTCAAATGATTAACTGTGTATGTAATGAAGATCATAGTGTGGGTTGAATCCATTTTCATAACCACTGTCTTTTAACTGATTTAAATGGGGAAACTGGGCTTATTCATCAGAATTTCGTATGACTTGACTTGACTTGCTTGACCTGAGCAATGACTTGACTTGACTTGCTTGACTCTCACCACAGTGACTTGGGACTTGCTTGATACTTGTAGGTCAAGACTTGAGACTTGCTCATGACTTGCACATGTAGGACTTACTCCCACCT